ACAAACATTCATGCAGGATAAGGCGCACCTCCCCTCTGCTCACGCCCCCAGCCAATCTTTCTGTTCCAATACAAGGAAAGTAAAGGCTCTGTAATAGTTGACAACTGGTGGTCAACTTATAACCCCCAGCTGAACTCAGGAAGTGTGGTGCTGGGTGTGTGAGGCCCACCTGGGGACTGTTGCCGGCAGCATAAGAGCAGAACTGGAGAAGAAGAAAGGCTGTTGGGAATTGAGAAGAGGCTGCTGGGAGCTGGTAGAAGCTGTTGGTTCTTTTGGAGGAGCTCGTCATGCCGGCTTTCCTGATGAATTTAGCTGTTTTCATCCTCCAAGGAGCTTGGGACCTCGTTAGCACTGAGAATGGCTTTGGTTCACTTTGGTGGAGCTCTGGTTCTCACTTTGAGCAGCGTTTCCTGGCTCCAGAGGGAAAGATGGTGCACTGCTCAGTCTCCTGGAGAAGTTTGTTGCATTGGCTTTCCTGACGGGAACTCAGCTTTCCTCATCATTGGAGAAGCTCAGGACCTCACTGTTGCTGAGGATGGCTGTGGTACCTTTCAGGGGAGCTCTGGTTCTTACTTTGCATGTCGCTTCCTGGCTCCAGCGTAGATCCCTCAGCCTGCTAGCACAGATCCTTCATCCCGCTGACGCAGACTTCCTAGATTCCACCACTTTGGGCCTTCCCAGTGCAGATCCGAAACAGGCGTGCATGAGACGTTGTCCTGGGCTCTGGGCCTCCAGTTGGGCTCGTACGAGGCACTGTTACTGGCTCTAGGTCTTCAGCTGGACTCATGCAGGACATTTCTGTGGGATCCAGGCCTTCGGCTAAACTCTTTGGTCTTAGTGTGTGGACAGACTTCCTGCACTCTCTTGTATGTGATTTTTTTGGGTGACTGTTATAAATAATCTTATAAAATATGTGTCCTGTATTATATTGTTCCCCTTGCAAATATCCCCCAAACCGTAACAGGCCCCCTTCAGTCAGGCCCCTTGCACCGCCCACTCTCAGCAAGCAGGGGGCGCAGTCACAGAGCCTCATTGTTGGCACAGTTCAGCTCCAGAAATCTGCCTGGTGGTCATCAGAGCACACTCTGCACAAAAGGTTCACGTGGGGAGGCCGAGGACTCCGTTGGCAGCAGCCGCAGTGTGGCTGGGGGCCTGGGTCTGGGACCTCAGGCCAAGGTCAAAGGCGCAGAGCATGCTGGGACCTAGCAGAACCTGGTGGCCTCTCCTGCCAGCCCCAAGGCAGGGGCAGGAGGCGGGCACACTGGGGTCATGGCCCAGCTCAGCCCCTCTCAGCAGAGTTCTTAAGATCAATGCAGCCTCGGTTTCCTTGGCTGTAAAATGAGCCACTGCTCCCCTCCTGGGCCGTGGGAGGACCGAATGACGGAAGTGAGGGTGACAGTGCTGTGCAGAGCACCCATCAACCTGACCACTCATTTACTCCTTGTCCAGTGGCAGCTTTGTTTGTTTGTTTTTTGAGGCAAGGTCTCACTATGTAGTTCAGGCTGACCTTGAACTCACTGTATACCCCAGCCTATCCCTAAACTCACGGTGATCCTCCTGCCTCGGCCTCCTGAGTGCTGGGATTACAGGCATGCGCCATTGTGCCTGGATCAAGGCAGTTTCCCAACCTCTTGATGTTTGGGCCAGGTTACCTGTTGCCATGGGAGCTGTCCTGTGCATTGCAGGACGCGAAGCAACATCTCTGGCTGCCACCTACTAGGTGTCAACAGCACGCTCCCAGCTCAGGGATGAGAGCCACAAGAGTGCCCCAAATGCCCGAGGGGCTGAGACCCACAGGTGCAGGGCAAAAAGCTCTAAACAAAGCGCAGCCGGAGACAGCACTCCTGGGTGCCAGCCACACCTCCACCTGGGGATGCAGTGCAGCAGCCGGAGACCAGTAGGAGAAAGGCCAGTGCCACACACCTGTGATACCCACATATGCGGATATTCACAGCAAGGGCTGGGACCACCGTGTACAAGTGTGCTGTCTTCCTCTCCCTCCAGCTGTGAATTTCTGTGTACAATGACCCGGTGTCGAGATTAAATCAGTACCAATTTCTTTTACTGGTCTGTGACATCAAAGGGAAGACAACTTATTCGTCTATGAAAGAACACACTGCATTATTATTCAGCTGCTCAAAACATGGAAAAGCACAGCTGCCTGCACATGCAGAGCCGGGAAGCAGGGGACAAGGCCAGTGTGGGGTGCTGAGGACCCGCCCAGGGAGGACAGTGCTCTCCTCGACTGGCCCGGGGTGCATCAGAAGCAAGAGACCTGCATGAGTACCACACGCTTCCCAGAGAGTTCTGGTCAACCCACAATCAGCAGCCCCGGGAAGGCAGTGTAGCCAGAGATCGAGAATGAAAGGGGGAGAAGGCACAGGCAAAGGGGGCACATGCCACGGAGTGGGATCGGGTGTGTCACTGTAGAAGTTTCCATGGTGCTTTCACATTACAAGGCCCTGTCTCAGCCTCTCCCCAGACCTCCCCTGGAGCTCCCTGTGGGCCCTTTGCCCTCACCTTTCCCACTTCCATCTCCTACCAAGGCCCCTGGACTGTGCCTGTGACACTGGGGGACGGCAGGGGCCATCCCCGACACAGCAGCTCATGGGAATCACAGTCCAGGTTGGCTAATCCCCCTCTACATCAGTGGTGGCGAACCTATGGCACAGGCTGCAGTGGGCTGTTTGTTACCACTGAAAGCTCTAAAAGGTTCGCCATCACTGCTCTGAGTCACCCTTAGGTTGTAACCACAGGTCCTGGGTTTAAATTTATACTGCATCAGGGAAAAAAACAGTAAAATACAGGCATCCCTAGTGGTTGCGAACCCCTGCTGGTTTTGAGGCAAAGTGATATCGATTAAAAAGTGGAAGAGACCACAAAGGACTTCAGCCATTTAAAACTAAAACACAGCAGGGCATAGTGTTGTGTGTCTGTTATCCCAGCACTCAGCAGGCTGAAGCAGGAGGATCACAAGTTCAAGGCTAGCCTGGGGAACTCATCAAGACCCTGGTTCAAAAAAAAAAAAAAATTAGAAAGGGTTAAATTGTAACTCAATGCAAAGGTTCTGGATTCAATCCCACTACCCCACCACCACCAAAAAAAGACCCACAGGACAATCCGGTGATGGCTGTACTGGAGTAGCTGGAGATGTAAAAGTAACACCACAGGAAGGAAATGGAAAGACATCTTGATTTATTTTATTTATTTATTTATTTTTTTTTTGGTTTTTCTCCGGTACCGGGAACCAAACTCACGACCTTGCGCTTGCCAGGCAGGCGCTTTGCCACTGAGCTAAATCCCCAGCTCCAACATCTTGATCTAGAAGTCCACTGAAAGAAGCCTTCTTTTATACTGAGCATCTTTGCACACACCATTTCCTTTGCCTGAAGCAACGTCCCCTCCTCCGATCTACCAAGTCCTAAGTGCTAGGCAGGCAGTTAGACAGTACCAGGCAGGAGGCATAAAGTGTGTCCAAAGAACGAAAAGACAGCCAGGCATGGAGGTGCACTCCTGTAATCCTAGCACTTGGGAGGCTGAGTCAGGAGGATCACACGGAGTTCGAGGGCAGCCTGAGTTACACAGTAAGACCATCTTCAAAATAAACCCCACGTTTTTAAAAAGATGAGCTGGGCATATTGGCACAGGCCTGTAATCCCAGCACTCGGGAGGCTGAGGCAGGAGAAGCATTGCAAGAAGCGTTGGAGGCCAGCCTGGGCTACAAAGTGAGCTCAAGGCCAGCCTGAACTGCATCGCGAGACCCTGCCTCAAAAATAAAAAAAAAAAATTTAAAATTAAAATGATGAAACAAAGACTTCAGTATATCATACACTCATAATCACATTAGGGTTCAGACCCCAAATGACCCCACACGACGTCACGGAGCACAGTGACATTTTAAGGTCACACTGTACACACAGCTGTTTGTTTTCAGGAGGCTCACAGCACACCTGCTTGCCACGGCCCAATGAGATCAGAACAAGGAGCGTCTTTAGAGATCCTCCTGCCTCGGGCTGAGACCTGCGATCAGAACCTCGTCTTTCCTTATGCGTCTTTCATGATTAAGGCCCCTGAGCGAACACTGAATATCGGAAAATAACATGGAAAAAAGTTTTGCGATTCCAGAGCAACTTCCAAGAAAAACGTCTGCATCGCAATCACCACAGTTCTCTGACCTCCAGGAGAAACTCTTAAGGTGAGTAAAAAGGCAGCCTTTGAACCACTCGTACCTCTCCTGAAGGTGTACCCTTTGCACAGCTGCTTGACAACAGGCTCTGCCTAAACTTCTGCACGGCCGCCTGTGCTCATTTTTTCCCGGAGGACACGAAGGACCAAGGAGCCAGAGCCAGGTCCTAGGAGCGCCAGGACCCAGTCCCGGTCTCCTGCGGGCACAGCCAACGGTCCCGGCGCCCTAGCCCCTCACCGTGCGAATCGGAGGTGAGTGCAATGGCTGGGCTGGGAAAGGGGCCTGAACTCAGGGGCCAGACGATCTAGATTCAAACCCTAACTGCCACGTACCGCTGTGTGAACCCGGGCCAGCCTCGCCCTCTCCAAGCCTCAGAACCCTCTTGGGTGCAACGGATCGCACCTCTCTGGGCCTAACTGAATTTGGCAGGGCGAGGCCGCACTGGGGCCGGGTGGCGGCATTCCGCTGCGGACCAGCACGCTGCGACGGGGCTAATGCCAGGAGGCGATCGCGGCCGTGGCCAGGGCTTTCCAGGGAGCAAGGCGCCACCCTCTGGGACGGCGAGACAGGGGCGCAACTCTGAAGCCGTGGCGCCTCCGCTAGAAAGCCTCAGCCGGCGGTCTGACCTGCGCACTGCAGCGGCCCTGGGGACAGAGGCCCGCAGCAACCCAGCCCACCCCGCCACAGCAGGCGCCAGCTCCGCAAGCCAGGAAGGGCCGCCCGCTCTGAGCTGCGCATGCGCCACCTCCGCAGCGCGCCCCGATCTGACCAATCAGAGCCCGCCCTGCGGTCGCGTAGCAGCAGACCCGGAACTGGCTCTTCCGCGTCGGGCGGGACTCCGCTCGGATGCGGCCCTGGCTGCGCTGCCTGGGAGAGCCGCGTGTCCCCGCCGTGCCTCATCTTTGCCGGCGGGCGCCTCACCTCCCGCTGGAAGCCTGAAAGCCGGAGGAAAGGCACGGCGTGCCCGTGGGGTGCCCCAGCCTGCCGACCGCGCCCGGGCAGGCCTCGCCCCCGACCCCCACCGGTTGCGTCTCCACCTGCGCACTGCGCCCCGCGGCTGCTTCGGGGTCACCCCCGGCGGCCGCCCCGGCCTTGCGCCGCCCCTGGGCCCGCGGGAGCGCCGCTGTGCTGCGGGGGGCCGGGCGTGGGCAGCGGGGCCCCCAGGATGCGTCTCGGTGGGGCTCCCACGGAGATACTGATGCGAGCGACGTTTGTCCCCGGCCCGACACCGTGGAAGAATGACTGGACCCTCAGCAGAGCCAGACGATCTGCTGTCGGGCCCTTCCCGGCCCTGGCCCCCTGGAAATGCCTGAAATCTGCTTTACCGCTCTTTGGGTTTTTTTAAGGTGCGGGGGATTGAACCCAGGGCCTTTGCGCTGACCCACGTGTCCAGCTCTTTCTTATTTTGAGACAGGGTCTCAGCTGCTGGGGGTCACCGTGTAGATTCATTAGTAGAGAAAATGCACTTAGCCCGGACTGTCCTGGTAGGCGAGGGGATAAAGTCCAGGGGGATCTGGAGAGAATCCAGGAGGGGCCCCTGCAGCCATCTGTCAGATCCCTGGGAATCGAGGGAACCTCCCCGAGGCGCTGTGAACGGGACTAATGGGCTTTCTGCAGGCCACGTCCCTCGGTGCCGCTGCTGCGCCGTTGGAGAGTAAGCCTCCCAAAGTAGGCCTCCCCAAGACTCACCAGAAGCCCTGTTTCCCCTCCTGGATAACCACAGGAGTTTAAATCCTTCTCAGTTCCCCCGCACCACACCTCAGGCGGCTGGCTGTGGAGTCCCCGCCCTGACACCTGAACGAGTCCATGACAGCCTTCAACTCCCAGTCGCCTAGAAAACCAAAAGGTGGAGAAAAATGTTAAACGCCATCCCAAAACGGGACCTGAAAAATCTAGTCCGTACAAGATACGATACAAAATACAGCAAATGTTAAAAAAAAAAAAAAAAAGCTTTTTAAGAAATTATTACAGTAAAAGATGCATTCCCGTGAACACCCCTCAAAACACTGTCCATTGGCCTGGCTGCTTTCTGAGGCAGCCCTGGGAGTCTTCATGAGTGTCTATATGTGCTGTCCTGACTGCCTCAATGTCCTGACCCCATTCAGAATGTTCACCTCTCATGGTCATTTTGACTTCGAGGAAAAGCCAGAAGCCACACGGTGCCAGGTCTGGTGAATAATGTGGACGAGGACACAGGGTCACGATTTTATCAGCTGCCTTTATTTGGAGGGCGCTTGGCCGCAGCATTCACCATATATTTGATCGCATGTAATAAAGACACTCAGGAAAGAAGACGAAGAACTGCTTTAGAAAGTAGCAAGAACAATGGGATAAGTGTGTTTAAAGGGAGGAGGGTATTTTAAGGGGGGTTCATGGCAATGTGTCTTTTACTGTAATTAGTTTGTAATTTACATTCACCATATATTTTGATCACGCCTTGTCGATGGATTAAGGGAAAAGAAAAAGAGATGAAAGGAGAAGCTGAGAGTGAAGAGATTTAAGAGATATATTGACCAATTCCAACATGTGAAACTTGTGTGGACGTTTATGAGGTAATTCGAAACTTGAACACCATAAGTGATTGTAAACAATTATATCTGTAGGCGTGCGAGTGTTATTATGATTACGCTTCTTTAAAGTGCTCGTTTCAGAGACACACACTGGAACGTTTACAGATGAGGCAGCAGGTGGAGATGTTCACTATAACGCAGACGGGGAGTGGGCTGAGAGCGACAGTCGCTGACCTGTGGTAATGGGGACAGGTGATTCATTACATCGTTCTGGTTTTGCACCTTAAAAAGCTTTTTTAAAAAAAAAAAAAAAGAACTGAAACCAAACCAAAACCACTAGTAATATCCCCCACTCAACGCTGTAATTCTGTATCACCCATCTGGGAAGTTTATTCTCATAGACATGCTTGATTTTTCCGTGGCAATATAAATTTATATGTTCGTCTCTGTACACACACTGTCTGTTGCAAATAGAATATTCACATGCAAACGGTATCATAAACGTACAAGAAAACATTGAAGAGTATTTATACCCAGGAGGGCAGAGGTCTGTCTTCAAAGGACAGAAAAGTCAAAACTTGGGAAGGAAACGCCTGACATCTAATTATGTAAAATGGTAAAGTGTCCATAGGTCAAAGGCATCATAGACAAGAAGACAAATTAAGAAGAAAAAGGGGAAACTGCAAGACATGCTTGTGATGTACATGGCAGCCAGAGCACTTACTTCAGTATGTAAGAGGCTCTCTGTGTTAGTCATGGTACTTGCATTTGGTGAGCACATGCGTGTACCTGTGGAATTTGCCTACCTTTTTATGCGTGTTAGGTACTTTTGATAAGTTAACAAAAATCAAAAGAATCCAGAAAAAGAGAAGAAACCCAATAGAAAAAAATGATAAACATATAAATAGATGCTCAGTGCACCCAAAAAAAAGGGAGGGGAGAAAGCAGTTCTGGAAGCTGCCTGAAATAGTGTGAGCATCATAGTGTACGATGTAACACGCTTCCACGCTTTAGTAATTCTACCTGCAGGGATTTCTCCTAGAAAAGTAGCTAGGTAAGTACTGGGCATAGTGGCCCACACTTGTAATTCCAGCACCAAGAGAGGCTAAGGCAAGAGGATCACAAGTTCAAATCGCTCCTGGGCAAGTTAGCAAGATCCTTTCTCAAAATGTAAAGTTAAAAAAAAAAAGATGTGAGCTGAAATAAACCTTTTCTCCTTAAAAAAAAAAAAAAAGGCTTGGGATGCAGCTCAGTGGCGGAACAACCCTGGGTTTGATCCCTAGTACAGACGGAAAAAAAGATAAGTATATGACTATATGTACCTTTTCAGTGTGTTATTTATTTTTTAATTAGTTTGTTTACTTATTGTGTAATTTAGGCTGGGTTTGAACTCACTATATAGCCCAAGCTGGCCTCGAACTCACCGTGACCCTCCTGCCTCCTGAGTGCTGGGATTTCAGGCCAATCTCTGCCCAGTTTTTCATTATTTCAATAGTTGGCTTAAAAAATAAAATTAAGTCTATGTCCACCAACAGGGGCTTGGTTAAAGAGACAAGGTCACATCATGCCAGGAAAGAGGACCCAGCTTCCGGAAGGCCACGCGAAGGGGATGATTCATGTGGAAAGAATGTTCCCGGCACTGACAAAAACTAAACAACTTCAGAAAACTTTGTACAGCCTCCCATTTTTTACAGTATAGTATGTTTAAGTCTCACTTTTCAAATATTTCTTTACCATCCCATGTTTATGCTTGCATGTGAAATTTTGAACACATACACTCCAGATGATGAATCAGAACTCCTTAGGGAAAGTTACTGGGCAATCTTCACTGTCACATTCATTCAGGTGCAGCCCACGCTGACCTCAAACTTGCTGCGAAAGTCCTGCAGTCCTCCCGAGCTCAGGGGTTATGGGCCTTCGACAACATACCCGATCCCGCCTGGAGTTTTAAAACTCAGGACTCTCATGTTTGTTGTCACTCTAAACGCTTCCTTCCCTCACCCTACTTAACTTATTCTCTCTGCCCTGAAAAGCATGTCACGTAGACTAATTTTAGAGCCAATCTTCCAGCCTGCGTCCACTGCACCCGTGGTATTTAATCCTTCCCGGAAAGCTGTTATAAACTAACGGTCCGTCTCCCCGTTGAGACGGGCTCAAACTCCAGGGCAGTTGCTAGTTTTTTACCGTATTACACAGGATTATTACGCTGAAACCACAAACAGCACACTCTTGAGTAAGGAAGCCGATAAAAAGCTAGTGCTCGGGCTGGGATTTAGCTCAGCGGCAAAGCGCCTGCCTGGCAAGCGCAAGATCATGAGTTCGGTTCCCGGTACCGGAGAAAAACCAAAAAAAAAAAAAAAAAAAAAGCTAGCGCTGATCAGGCATAGTGGCACACGCCTGTCAACCCTGCCCTCGGGAGGCTGAGGCAGGAGGATCACCGTAAGTTCAAGGCCAGCCTGGGCTAAATAGACCCTGTCTCAAAAAGAAGCCAGTTTTGATGAACTCACTTCCTCAGATTGGAGGCAACCTTGGGCCTCAGCTTCCCAGATGCTGGGATGACAGGCGTGTGCCACCACGCCTGGCTTTATTCGTCCACATCTGCGATATGTAATGAGCACAAGGTCGTGGGGAGTTGGTTTACACACACATCGCATCTTGATCTTTTTCACCACCCCTCCCTTCCTCCCCTCTTCCCCATCCCAGCCCCCTTCCTTCCGGCGGAGAAACATTCCAGCGCCTGCGCCGTGTGGTTTCAAAGAGGCGCCCAAACGCATTTCATCTCAGATGACCCAGGGATGGGGGCGTTTCTCACTCCGTCCTGTGTCCATCACACATACAATGTCAATGTCCTTCCGGTCTCCGGGCCCGAACTCCCACGTCCCGCCTGGGTTCCGGGGTTTCCTGGAACGCAGGGCCACGGGGCGGTGTGGCTAGTCCACACGGAAAAGCTTTGTGGAAACTTTCTTCTACCGCTTGGTTTCTCCGTCCCTCCCAGGTATCAGCGACAGGACGAATCTCGGGTGGCACGGGGACATCCGGCCAGCCAGGCCTTGCAACACCTGCTCGCCGCACACAGGAGCTCGGAGCTGTGTGCTCCACAAGACTCCTAATGCACAGTGCCCGAGACGGCTGTAACGACAGCGATGGTGACCACAGCCAGCCCGGAATGGACAGGCTTTCGCTCAGCTTCATTTGGGACCAGGTAACAAGCTCCTGTGGATCCCCATCTGCAACAGCAACCAAGGGCTGAGGCTGCGTCGGACGAACCCCAGACATAAGACTGACATATGGTCAGTGCTTTCCACTCTGCCCACAAGGGTGAGACCCTGGGGCCACCTCACAGCGTGATCAGGGTAAGTCGTGGAGGTGTGGTGGCTGCTGCCCTATGGCCTGGGATCACTCCATGAGCTGAGAGTGAGGTGCTGAGGGTCCTGAGGATGCTGCAACAGAGATGCCTGTGCATGAAGGACAGAGGGCTGTGAGGGACTTAGCTTGGAAGCTGGGCATCTCAGTTGCAACTCAGCTTGAGCAACCCCAAGCCAAAAACGTCCAGCTAAGCTGCTCCCAACCTCCTGACCCAAGGAAGCTAGCTGTGCAGTAATGAGAGATTATCACTATAATCTGTTAACTATTATGGCAACTTGTTACACAGCAATAGCTTGCAAATACACATGGTCTCAAAGTATCTCCTACATAACACTTACCACTTACAGAGGGGAAGCTAGAAACTTTACAGTGGAAAAAAAGTAAAAAACAAATACACCTTTGAGCAAACTTAAGGTTGCCAGAGATGAGCTGCTTCAAAAACAGGAGCTCCTGATAGGAAGTTCCAGGAACAATGTGACATAGCTTCTAGGTACTCTGGCCAAAAATGTGTAACTCAGATGTGACTACGTGAAAGCATCAGGACACTATAAAACTGCGGGACATTCTATCACATAGCAGGCCAGAACACTTCAAAAGTGCTGAGGTCATGAAAGATAAAGACAGAGAGGTCATCCCAGATTAAAGGAGACAACAGAGATGTGACAGCTGCGGGCCAGGATCCCTTGAATATTAGTGGGCAGAATGATAGAATTTGAGAAAAGTCTGTAGGTTGGGTGACAGCCTGGCACCATTGTTAATTTTACTGACTTCATATTCGTGACGATTTGATAACATGTTTGTGATGGAGGGAACTAGAAAAGAACATATGGAAATCCTCTGGATTATTTTTGTCCCTTTTTTTATGTTAGGAAATTATTTAAAATTTTACAAGATCATTCAATACTAAAGGTAAAGGATATTTTCAAATATTAAAACTTGGAATAATTCACTATCAGCACTCACAAAAAGGAAAAGCTAGGAAGTGTTCTTCAAACAGAAGGAAACAGCAGAACCCTAATTGGGAGCTCAGAGATGCAGGAGTGAATGACGAGGAAGAAAAAGGTAAATCTTAATGTTAGAAAAAATCTCATTAACCCCTGACTGTTTAAATAGCACTAAAAACTCGTGTGGGCTAACAACATACAGAATTAAACTGTGATAATAATAGCATGAAAGTGGAACAATGCTTACATTGAGAAAATTCTAAAATCCTTGCATCACCCAGGCAGAGGGTAAAAATGCTTGAATAACATTAGCCTCAGTAGATGAATGTCACACTTTGTAATCTCCATAGTAACCACTTACCAAAAAATGCTGTACAATTTCCAGACTAATAGGAGGAATAGAATAATAATTTTTAAATAATCAGCTTTAAAAAAGGAGAGCAGCATAAAAATACCAACACTGAGGGGGAAGAAAGTAGATTTACTTCCAGTTGTATCAGTACTTATGTCAAATCTAAGTGGGTAGAAGAGCCAATTAAAAACAAAAAGGCCTTCGAACAACTACAGCGCACAAAAGCAAATAACCCAGCTTTAAAAATGGGCAAAGACCTGAACAGGTATTTCTAAAATATCAACAGGCATGTGGAAAAATTACATCGCTAATCACCAAGGAAATGCAAATGAGAACCAAAAGAAGAGATTATCTCACCCCAATTAGAATGGCTACTACTTAAAAAAACTAAGGATAATATGTGTTGAGAGTAATGTAGGAAGAAGAAACTGTTATACACTGTTGGTGGGTGTGCTGGCTGGTGTCAAAGCCTCATGCGGTCATGGCAGGGTTTTTTAGAAGTGGCTGGATCTAGAGCGTGTGATGCTGGGATCAAGTGTGTGAGGCTGGGATCAAGGGTATGTGATTACTACATCGTTCCACTGATTGGCTCGGCATAATCCCGGGCCTGGATAATGGGAAGGCCCACCCTATGTGTGAGTGCTACCTGCCCTAAAGGGCATTGTTATTTGTAGTGGATTGATGACTCGTGGTCAACTCATAACCCCCAGCTGAACTGAGTAAGCGTGGTGCTGGGTGTGGGAGGCCCACCTGGGGACCGTTACCAGCAGCATAAGAGGCAGACCTGGGAAAGGAGATAGAGGCTGTTGGGAGTGGGAAAAGGCTGTTGGAGCTGGTGGAAGCTGTAAGGAGCTGTTGGTTGGTTTGGAGGAGCTCATCATGCTGGCTTTCCTGAGGCTGTTTTCATCCTCCGAGGAGCTTGGGACCTTGTTGGCACTGAGAATGGCTTTGGTTCACTTTGGCGGAGCTCTGGTTCTCTCTCTGAGCATCGCTTCCTGGCTCCAGAGGAGAAGATGGTGCACAGCCGGTCTCTGGGAGAAGCTTGATGCATTGGCTTCTCGATGGGAACTCAGCCATCTTGATCATCGGAGGAGCTCGGGACCTCACTGTTGCTGAGGATGGCTGTGGTACCTTCCGGGGAGCTCTGGTTCTCCTGAGAGTCGGTTCCTGGCTCCAGTGCAGATCCCTCAGCCTGTTAGCACAGATCCTTCATCCCGCTGGCACAGACTTCCTAGATTCCACCACTGACCTTTGGACCTCCCCAGCGCAGATCCGTGAAACAGGTCTGCATGAGATATTGTTATGGGCTCTGGGCCTCCGGGTGGACTCGTGGGAGGCACTGTTATGAGCTCTAGGTCCTTAGCTGGACTCATGCGGGCCATTTCCATGGGATCCAGGCCCTCAGCTGGATTCCTTGGTCTTAGTGTGTGGACAGATTTCCTGCACTCTTTTGTGTATTGTTCTTTGGGTGACTATTATAAATAATCTTATAAATATGTGTTTTTTGGATTTTTTTTTGTACCGGTAATCGAACTCTCAGGACCTTGTGCTTGCCAGGCCGGGGCTTGTGCTGCTGAGCTATCTCCTTGGTTAAATATGTGTTCTGTATTATATTGTTTCACCTTGCAAAGTAAGCCCCAAACCAAGACATTATTGTTTGCGTCTAGATGTTTCCCCCAAAGCCTCACATGGTCATATGGTTTTTTTGGAGGTGGCCAAATCTAGAGTGTGCAGTTCTGGGATTTAAGGGTACTGGGATTCAGGGTGGGTGATTGCTGGATCAGTCCACTGATTGAATTGGCACTGTCCTAATCCCAGTAGACTGGATATAAAACAAGGGACAGAAAAAGCTTTGTCTCTCTGTCATTGCTTTTGCCATCTTCCACCATCATGCACTGTTGCCTCTCTGCCATGTGCCACCCTGCCTTGGAGCCAACTGATTATGGACTACAGCTGTGAGCTAAATAAACCTTTTCTTGGCCAGGTGTGGTGGCACACCCCTGTAATCCCAGCACTCAGGAGGCTGAGGCAGGAGGATCATTGCAAGTTCGAGACCAGCCTGGGCTACAAAGTGAGCTCAAGGCCAGCCTGAACTGCATAGCGAGACCCTGTCTCAAAAAGACAAAAAAAAAAAAACCCTTTTCTCCTTTAACTTTGGGTGTTGGGTATTTTGTCTCAGCAATGCGAGAAAAGTAACTAAGACAGGCGTGTAGCCTGGATAAGATATGAGGGACAGAAAGAGGCTGCTGCCATTGCTTGCTGCTTACTACTTCGCTGTTTTGCTGGCTTCTGCCTGTCATGAACTATTTCTCCTCTGTGATGTCCCTCTGCCCTGCCAACCTGCCTTGCAGCCAGCCAACTATGAAGTGAAACCTCTACAGACTATGAGCTACCATAAACCCTTCCTCCTTCAACTGTAGGTGTTGGATATTTTGTCACAACAACAAGAAAAGTAACTAAGACAGTGGGAATGTGAATTAGGACAGCCATTATGGAAAATAGTATGGTACTTCCTCAAAAAATTGAAAATAGAATTATCACATGATCCAGCAATTCATTCCTGGGCATAGTAATACATTGGTTTATAAACTAAATTCTCTGCATGATTCTGGTAGCAAAGCAAACAGGACAAGAACTGGATCAAATTTCCCCATAACATCAACATTGAACCCAACCATTGAATTTGATTTGGTTCTCATCCAACTCAGTTTGCAACCAGAATTGTGGAAAGAATCAAGTTCATGAACCAAGACACCACTGTGTATCCAAAGGAAATGAAATGGTATGTTAATGAGACATCTGCACTCTCTTACTGCATCATTATTCATCATAGCCAAGATACAGAATCAACTCAGTGATGTCAACAGACAGATGGATACAGAGAATATGTATACATACACCATGGAATACTATGCAGCCTTGAAAAGCAACACAGAGGAACCTGAAAGATGTTACTTTAAGTGAAATAAGTAAGATACAAAAAGACAAGGACCATGTGATCTCAGTCATATGCAAAATCTAATAAAGGCTGACCTGACAGAAAGAGAGAGTAATGTTGGTTACTGTAGTAGTTGGCTGATGTTGGTCATAGTGTTATAGACAACTAAGTTAGGTAGAAATACGGTAGGCAATCAGGGCTGGATCCTCGAGGGAGTCATTGCGGAAGATGGGAATCATCAGGACTGTGGCTGGAAGCACATCTGAAGATTAAAGTCACAATGGCTGGTTTTACATACTTCCCTAAGGGGTGAATGGATTATTGGTCTCACCCTTTTGAGATTTCCCATTATCTCATTAGGGGTGGGCCGTCCTCTCCCTCCCACTAAAACTAAGACTAAGACTACTAAGATTAAAGACAAGACTAAGACTACAGGTTAATGATGTCACCCATGTACCCTTGCCACCATTAGATCAATATTACCTAAGTGACTATCCTTGAAATTTTATTGGTTGATCATAATTTTGACCCATGTTGTACCTGTCTCGTGATTCTGCTCTATAAAACTTCCTTTGAGAGGTGGGCTCATCGGCAACCCTTTCGGGACTCCTCCTGCCTCTCAGGAGCTGTTCCTACTCCCCATGTCCCTATTCCTGTTCCCTATTCCTTTTCTCCAATAATTTTTCCTATTCTTAACCTCTGTTGTTCCTTAGAATTCATCCTTCTACTCTGGGGCACATGAACTCAGCATGTTTGACATCTAGCATTTCCTATATACCAATAGGGCAAATAATTTCTGCACAGTTAAACAGGAGGAATAAGTTCAAAAGATCTATTTACTCTGTATTAGCTTTGCTGTCAATAGTACAAAACACCCCAACTCCCACAACTTAAAGGAAGAGAGTTTTAATTTGCTTTATGGTTTTGGGGGAGTCAGTCCATGGTCACTGTCTCCAAGGCAGAAATAGCATGGAGGAAGGCATAGCATAAGAAAGCTCTTCATCTCATGACAATAGCAAGTGGGAGAAAAGGGAAGCACTGCCAAGGGAGATCCCCAGTGACTCCTAACCAGGCTCCACCTCCTCCTAACAGCACACTTAGCTATGAACTCACTGATGGATGAATCCACTGGTAAGCACAGCACCACCATGATCCGATCACTTTCTAAAAGCCTCACCTCTGAACAGAAGTTGGGGAATTTTCTAGATCTAATCCCTAATGCACAGCAAGGTGACTATAGTTAATGAGAATGCTTTGTATTCTTCAAAACAGTAAAGAGTGGATGCTATATGCTCTCTCACAAAAAAAGTCTTAACTTTTTAAGACAATGCATATATTACCTAGCTAGACTTGAACATTCCACAACATATATATAATTCATAACATCATGTTGTACATAATAGAAACATAAATGTTGTCGGTCCACTTAAAATCAAAGAACAAAGGCTGAGGGTATAGCTCAGCAGCACATCACCTGCCTGGCAAGTGTGAGGTCCTGAGTTCAATTTCCAGTATCAAAACAAAGCACAAAATATAAAACCAAAGAACCATAAATAAACAAAGTGTCTTTTGGACTGGATAAAAATGTAAAACCAACTATGTGATGTTGGCAAAAGACACCTAAAATGTAGGAGCTGGCCAGACATGGTGACGCACACCTGTAATCCCAGAATTCAGAAAGCTGAGGCAGGAGGATCATTGCAAGTTCAAGGGCAGCCTGGGCTATGACAGTCAAGGTAACATTGATGGCAAAAAGAATTTGAAGCTGTAAGAAGCTCATTAACCTGGTGAGGAAATCTCCAGCCTGAACACACCCTCCAGCTTCATTAGCTTTTACTGGTTTGCTCGTGTCTCCCCCTGCTGAGCTGCGTGCTCCCCTTAGCCTTGCTATGGCTCTGTCCTCCAACCTGTGGGTCATAATGGGACACTGTCACTGAAGGTGTTTTTGAGGATGGCGGATGTCACTTTTGTCCACCTCAAACCATTGGGCCTGTGCAGTGTCCAGGGGGTGACATTTGACACCAAAGGGCCCAAAACTCTACCCTGGAATCACAGTAGTGATTGAATCACACCGTTTCTCAACACGGGTCTTAGAGACAGTCAGGTTACTTGGTGACACATGGACAGACTACCAGTGACCTCACTTTCCTCAGCTACAAGCACCTTGCCTGTGCCCCAGAGCAGCCTGGTTCTCTATCCCATGACCCACTTGGACCTCGTCCTCGGAAGGCTTGTTTGAAGCTTCCCATCTGCCTCATGAATAAACTCCTCCTCTTTTCTAAAACTCATTGCTTGGTGACTGGAGGAGCTGTTGGGCAAAACAGGCTTCATTCAGTGACAACGACACTTCTGACACCAAATTGTGTCTTTTTCCACACTGACAACCGATTCAGACAGCGGTTGGCTGTCCTGCAATTCAACTTTTTGTTTTTGTTTGTTTTGTTTTTGTTTTTTGAGACAGGGTCACAGTATGTCATCCTGGTTGACTTTGAACTCACTGGGTATCCCCGGCCTTGAATTTGTGGTGACCCTCCTGCCTTCCGAGTGCAGGTACTACAGGCGTGTGCCACGACGCCCTGCCCTTGAAATTTAATTTCACCTTGACACTGGCTACCCAGAGTTAGCGTGAGATTTCCAGGTGAAGGGCCCAGACTCAAAGACTGTCCCCAGTTCCTGATGCTCACCTGAAGTCCCAGACCCCCTGTCCTTCAAACTGACCACCGACAAATCAGGGTACTTGCAGCCCTTTCCTCAGGTTTGGTGATTTGATAGGAGGGTTCACAGAACTTGGAAAACTCACTTACATGAATTAATTTATTAGGATACAAGGGAATGGCC